ATATAATTTGTATAAAAAATATTTCTGTTATATTTGATCAACGTTAAAATAAAGTAAAATCTAAAAAAATATTACTTAAAGAAAAAAGAAGATATATATATATATGTATACACGTGATAAAATATAAGTAAACAAGGTAAAGTAAACCTTGGGAAACAAACTACTCATCCTCGGGATGCATCTCGTCTTACATGCACTTTCCCGAAGCTCGTAAACAATAAACCGGGGGAGGAGGATCGTAATGTGAAAGTAGGTGTAAGGATCGTAAGTCGAATGGATGGTGACAAGACGAGAGTTGGCAAATGTTACCAGAGGTGTCAGTCGACATTCCCGAGATTCCTACCACCTGCCACGATTCCGCTTAGATTTTACCTCACCTACCTACCTTTCCGATTGCTGCAATGCACCAGAATGCAATAATTTTACTCTCATCATTGCTCCTACAACTTCATTTGACCTTTTTATTATTTCTATCTTTTCCTATTTATTATCATTCGTGATGTTTATATTTATCTTCCATTAAACATTACATTTAAATTACATTAACTGTTTTACAAAGTATCTATTTCAAAGTAATATAAATTCATTTATTTCATACATTGAGAGAGATATTTTACTCGTATTGTGATATTTCAGGATTCGAGTTAATTGAAAAATATTGACTAAAACGTTTAATATAAATTTATAATATAATGTTTTGAAAACTATATGAATTTTGTTTAATTTTATCACATAATAATAATGTGTAAAATAACTTCGAGAATAAAATTGTTAATTTTCATGACGATTATTATTTAATAAGGAAAAGAAAATATATTTAATCGTCGATTAACTTTTAACCAAGAATATATATAAATATACAAAAATTTCTTGCCGAGATGATGTCCTCGATTTAAAATCCCTCAGGTATATTCACCGTCTAATATATATATATACACACACACTCATACACATTCACGTGTATGTGTGTGATGCATAAACACTAAAAATACATACTACCAACGTTTCACGTGACAAAGTTGGAAAGAACGTCCTGGAATATTTAAACAAAAGCGAAAGAACGTTTCTCTTTTCGGATAAATTCTAAAAGAGAATCGTTATACGACTTTCCTACTACTCGTCCAACTTACAACGAAAGGTTTTTACAAAAATATTAATAATAAATCCTCAACGTAGAACATTATTTTTTTCCTCTTCGTGTTTCTTCCTCGTATAAAAAAAGAGAAAGAAATAATTTTTATATTTAAAAAATAAAGAAGAGGAAAAAGAAAACCGTACACGTTCATACAAGTTCAATCTAAATATAACTGACACATCCAACGATCTATTCGTATTTTTAAACAAATAAAAAAAAAAAAGAAAAACGTATCCTCCAATTAATTTTATACAATCTCTTGAATTGCAAACAAAATATTCATTTATAAAGTAATCGTAAATATCAAATTTTGTAATCGCGTATCGTATCCCAAAAACGCTCGAACGTAGTTTATTTTATAATTAAACGTTTTTTTTTTTTTTTTTTTATACAAAAGTGACATTGACGGAAACGACGAAATATATTCTGGTTTTTTTTTTTTTTTTTTTTTTTTTTTTTTTCCATTAATATTCACGTTCGAATGAAATGAAATGATTTTTCCTACGAGCTAATCTCATCATCGAATACGATCCAATTCTCATATATCTCGAATACAAAAATTTCATTAATTTAAACTAACCAATCCCGGATCCGAAGAATATTTCGACGATCGAATTAAATTATAATCTAACAACGTGAAAAATTGAGAAAATGCTTCATTCGAATTAATTGATTCATTTCAAACACATAATTCGAAACCCCCCGTTGCAAGTCAAATATCACGCAAAAATAAACATAAAAAGAATTGATTGAAAAAAAAAGAAGAAATAATAAATAATCTCTTATTTCGAAGAGAAATATTTCAAATGAATTTAAATTATGGAGTTCGCGATATATAATATTCGTGTATAATAATAAAACGGTTCATTTATTTAATTAATTGTTATGCGATTCAACGATTTCATTTGTAGATCATAAAAATAAACCAAACGAAAGACAAACTTTTAAATAAAACAAATTAAAATAAAATAAAATCAAATCAAATAAAATGAAATATAAAAATGGAAATGTGTTCGAACATATAATTTGGAATCATGTAAAATCGTTTGTTATAATAAAACAAACAAAAAAAAGATAAAAAAGAAAAGAAAATATCTCAATGACGAGATATCTAAACATTTGCGATGGTATGGCGATATCAAATACTCGTTGATTGGTGATTATCGATATTCGTGTTACTGGAATTATTTCACGAGATGCGGTTGCGTATCAGGAACATGTGGGAAAAGTGGAATTGATGCATTCTATCTTTGCAATGTAATATATACCGAGACTTATACCGACAAAAAATAAATAGGTATAAACAATCCGACTGTGATTTACATGAGAAAAAGAAGAGAATAATAAAGAGAATCGTATTGAAAGATATTACAAGAATGCAAATAGACATGCAAGACGGCGTAACTTATTCTTTAAAAAGAAAGAAAGAAAGAAAGAAAGAAGTAAAAAAATAGTAAGAAAAGTGAATGCAAAACTATACGATTGAAAAAAATGTTACAATGGGTCACGATAATATTTATTCCGCAAATAGATAACCGATTCTTTTCTATTATAGGACCGAACAATCGATATGTCTAACTACCTAACACACCTATGAAGAACACACATCCACCCACTACCACACATATGTATTACGTCAATTCTTTTACCGTCTACCTGGACTTTTAACAAAACGTTATATTGAATTTTTTATATATATATAACGAAATGAATATATAGACAAAATAAAATAATAATTCATAATGTATATACGTGTGTGTGTGTGTGTTCGTATGAAATCTGATAATAAATGTGACAAAAATCGATCGTGAAAAATATAAAAAGGGTAAATAATAAAGAAGAAAATAAATATAACAACAAAAATAAATAAAAATCTTCTATTTACATCTTTCATTAATTTTATTTAACCAATAGTTGGTTAGTTGGTTAGTTGGTTGGTTGGTTGATAGGTTGGTTAATTGGTTGGTTGGTTGATCACGTTCCTTGTCAGTTTGTTTCGAACTTTCAATTCGGCCAGAAATCGAAGCTTTCCCTCTGACAATGACAATTCGAGCTTTTCCGAACAATCGTCGAAAGTTCAAGCTAGCCAGCCGTGTGTAATGCGAACGTATGTATATACATATACATATACGTATATATATATATATTATATTTTCAAGCGAGAACGATCAACGAAACACAATCGTACGATTCTACCAGAATAAATATCGATTTGAAAGACGTTTGTAACTAGAGTTAACACCTTTTACTTCATATACATAACTTCATATTAATATTTAAATGTAACATACATATGAATCCATTTATTATGAAAGTGACGTAAGTTGATCCTTGATATTTGCTTGCAATACATAATATTAACATTTTTCTATACAAAAAAAAACCTATTTCAAATTAATATTAATTGTATTACAGACAAACATCTTATAATTAAAGAATATAATTTGACATAAATGATTAAAGTATTGGTCTCACAAGAGTACTCGTACCTAAATAAAATATCATGAAAATATATTTATTTTTGTAAATGTAATATCTGGTTGACACTTCTTTGCATTTTATTCTTATGAGACGAATTTTATTATTATAAACAAAATAAATTCAACGTATAATTGATCACAAAGGTCCAATCTAATTTAAATCTACTTTCATCAATGTAAAATATCAAAAAATAGTTTATATCTGTGATGCTATTTACAAATGGTTACATTTATATATATATATATATAAACTATTTATTTATAGATTTATGTATGTACATACCTATATACACAAATTAACGTATTTACATATAATACTAAACAGTTCTATCGATAATTTGTAATTAAACCAACGATTCCTTTCATTTGAGAGTAAATGAAAGATTAAGTATCTATTTATTCGCAATAATGAAACCAATTCTGATTGGTTATTTCATTGGGTACTTTAAACGACGGCCAATCAAAAACATCGTTACAGAAAATAAACGACTCTATAGATTATTACAAATGAAATCTTATTTAAATTTCTTTTTAAACATACGCGCGTAAAATGTTTACGTTCGAGTTGAAACATAAAATAATGCTTTAATTAACAAACACGAGACTAATTAGATTATCTGGATAACATAAAAATAAAAAATAAAAATAAAAAAGAAGTAATTATTCCTGCCGAGACATGCCACTTATTTTGAAAGAAGGTAAAAACCTAATTAAGTTTCCTGCAACGTTCGTTTTTATTCGGATAAAACATAAAACATAATTCAAAAGCTGTCCCTACGAAAAAGTTACTTTAAAGTAATCCGCAAAACACGAACGTTTAATAAAACATAATATAATAAATCGTAACATGAAAAATAAACTAAATATAAGAATAATAGATGTACCAAAAAAACGATGAACGAAAAAAAAAAGAAATAGGAATGAGGGAAAGAGTTAGAAAAAAAGGCGGGCTAAGCCCTTGAGTCGTTAGAAAAAAAAATTGTTGACTTTTCAAAGAATAAGCAATAATAACATGATATACCGGTTGATCGATACCAGTATAACTCTTTTTATAAAATAGAAAACATTAGCTTTCTCTTTGGAGAGAGAAAAAGAAAAGTATAATGAAAATAAAAATGGGACAACAAATGAAAATAAAAACAACTTCTTTACCTCTTCGTCGAATTCAAAGTCACCGTCGAATTTTCGTTTGCATCTCGCACCAGTGACAAGTACGAGGAGTACCGTTGCCAGAAATGCCCAAGAAAATCTCATGATTTGTATCTTCTTTTTTTCTTCTACTTATTTCCTACTTCCTTCCGTCCTTCCTTCCTTCCTTCTTTCCTTTCTTTCTTCCTTCCTTCCTTCCTTACTAACGAAAGAAGAAGACAAACAATCCCTTCAAAAAACAGCACTTTACCACGATACGCGTAACTAACAAACGAATTAACGAATTAAATAATAAAATAATACGTTTTAATAATCGTCTTAATTAAACGTCAAATATGTTCACCAATAATAAAGCAAGCTGTCGCGACAATGTAACGCGCGGTTTAAGAGAAAATCCGTATATCCACTTCGGTACCGTTAACACGCGAAAAGTGGAAACGTTCCGCTCGACGGTCGAAGGAATTGTGACTGCGCCTGTCGGAACGACAACGACGCCACCGCGTCGACCGTGCAGCGGCGGCAACGGGCGCTCCGATTGGTTAATTTAGTGAACCGCCAAGTAGTGGGGATAGAGAGAAGAACCACTCCGCGTCGTGGCCCGTTGCACATTAGTTCTATCCTTGTCGAATTGATACCAACTCTCGTCCTTGCCTTTTTCTCTATGTCTCTCTCTCTCTCTCTTTCTGTCTCTATCTCCCCTTCTCTCTATATCTTTCTCTTTCTCTCTCTAGCTCTCATTCTCTCTTTTTCTCTCTCCCACGTTCTTCGTTCCAAAAGAGAATGAAGAGAAACGCGCGAGCGCGCTCGGGGTCTACCTCGCGCGGTAGTCAATACCTTCACCTGCTCGATTTACCTGAGGGAAAGGAGGAGAGAAGGTATGTATGCGCGCGCGCGCGCGCCAAAATAAAAGAAGAAAGAGAATCAGAGGATTCGGCAGAAACGCAGGAACACTTTCCTGAGTTTCACACTCGACCCAAAAGTGGTACCTGCCAACAACCGGTGACTTTGTCCCCTCTCCCAACCTATTTTACCTGCCTACAATATACTTCACTTCTTCTTCTTCATCATGTTCTTCTTCATCTTCTTCTTCTTCTTCTTCTACTTTTTTTGTTGTTTCTTTTCTTGCAGCAGCAGCTTGAGAGATGATCGGTACCAGATCAACGTTATAACAACCATCACCATCATCAAACAGACAAATATGCTACAGACAATGAAGTAGATACAAGAGTTTTGTTTAGGTATATACTTTTTTTCTTTTCATTAATTAATTAAATATTATAAATAATAAACACATATATGCATGTGTACGCATGTTACGATACGTTACCTAAACTTTAATTCTATCTTTCTTTCTATCTATCTATCTATCTATCTATCTATCTATCTATCTCTCTCTCTCCCTCTTTCTTACGGATTGTAAAATCAATCGTGTTTCTCTTTTGACACTGAAAAATGTTAAAATAACTTTCCTTTTTGAAGAAAGGAGGGAGAAAACGCTCGTCGTAATCTAATCTCTTCCTATGTTCTTTACCGTACGTTCGTATATACATACATATATGTATATACCATCGTCCTACATCTTGTCTCCGTTGTTTTCCTTGAGAAAGGTGTATAAACGTGTCCTTAGGGACAAGGATTCAGAATACATGTCATGCGAACATTCCCTTTGTAAAATAAATCGTTTTCTTGAGAGAAACTACTATGTGGAAGAACGTTATTTCAAGTAGTAGAAGAAAGTCCACTACTTTTTAAATTTAAATACAACTGAGTATGTACGTCTGACATAACTATTTCAACCCCCCTGCCCTTCTCACTCATTCATATTCATCCTCCGACTACCTCTTTAGTAAGGACATATTTCTATCTCTGTTCTTGTTTTTAATTTAATCCTGTTATTTGAATGATTAACTTAGTGATAGACGTTAAAAATGTAGTAAGAAACATCCTCTTAAAACCTTCTTAAAAATTATATTATTTATCACTACGGTATGTAGATATATATATCGTCCGAATCCTTCTAGCAAAAGGAAGAAAGATGGGCAAGGAATTGCTTGTAAAGTACATTCAACTAAACTTCAAAACGGATGTGAATATCTCCTCTGAGACCATTTTTCATGGAATGCAACGTGCAAGTAGTAATACGAGCTTTCGACAAATATCGATAAGATCGGTAAAAATAAGAAGGTAATATCGTTTCCGAGTAGTTCCCTAAAAAAGAAATAGAAATGTTACCTATCATAAAACTTAACTTTAAATTTGAATCTCTGATGTTAAAAAATGGTAAAATAAAAAAAAAATATATATGGAAGGATGATTTACTGTGATTTTGGAAACTTGACAGTCAAACACAAAAAAGGAATGTTTTCAAAAATCTTCGAGGATAAAATAAACTTCTTACTTTTACCTAATAAAACCCTTTACTCAGCTATTTTGCATATGCATATCACAACCTGTTACAAACATGAGGCTTGTTTTCAAAATGAAAACGTTTAATAATCATGCAGTGCTTTAGCAATAATATCATGCTATTTTTATAACTTCGTTTATATCGTCGTGATTTAATAAACAACTGATGCGTATTACTATCTATTCATATATAAATTAATTGATATTAATTTACTTTGTATTATCTCATTATTTCAATTGAAAAACATTGAATCTATTACGTTGCACGTTTAATTACTATAGTACTGCAAGAATAACTAATGGTATTAAATACTATCTACAATTAGTGAGAATATATTGATAGCTGTAATGTATGAATTTAATGTGAAGATGATAAGTAGGAAATTGCTCTATTAAATGCCAGCAAATAGAGCATCATATCGATGCCACCTTTAGAATAATTTGCTGCGACATATAATATCCATGTATCTTCATTTAAGGTGAACATAATGCCACTTATTAACTGAAATCATACAAAATTTTCAAATAAATAAAAATTAAATCACAATTTTGCACACACGTAATGATGAATATTATTAATTATTTAATATTATTTCAACAATAAGAATCATCTTTAAATATCATTAGTCAATTAAAGTAATTAGAAGATTATTATAACTTGTGTAACAGGGGATAGAAGAAAATTTTGTTTACTGAAAAAAAAATAATCTTATTAAATTCAGTGAAATTGGATATTTAAATATGATAATGAAATAGAAAATGTTCTAAAATTTTCAAATTTATGTGAACATATATAATTATAAATATCTATTTAGTTGATTTTCTCTTGAATCTTACCAATAGACTCCACCGACTGCGGTTCTGCTTTTTTTGGAGTTTTCTCTATAATCTCTTCAGCATCGACTGTAGTTATTTTATGCGGACTATCATCTACGCTTACATTCACACTACAAGTAGAAATATTTTTATATTTTCATATTTTCTGTATGTATCAAAGTTTTATTTGTTTTTTATCTGTCTTTACAAACTAACCATGAAATTCCAGTAGTAGGTGAATCTTTTTTAATAAGAGTTTGCCAATGTTGATTAACTTCTTCTATTATATGCAGTGCAAAATCCTTCGATTTGGCTTCTCCATTAAATGCAAATTGATTTTCTGGCTTACCGTCAGGAATTTTATAAATTTTAAACCATTCGATGGTAGCCTTCATTAAACCAGGAAAATGCTTTTCCATATCACCAATATCTGAAGAAATTATATTTATTTGTTAATATAAGATTTGAATTAAGGACAATAGAAAATTTAAATTATTCGTAGCAGTATAAAATTCACCATTCATTTGATCAGCTAAAGGATCATTGACATCTATCACGATAATCTTCCAGTCAGTTTCTCCTGAAATAATATTATTGAAATATCTATATTAAAGAAAAAATAAACAATAAATAATTTTAATTGCATTACTAAAACCAAGAACAAATTAATATTACCTTCGTCAATCAATGCAACAGTTCCAAGTACTTTGACTTGTAGAACTTCACCCCTCTTAGCAACCTATGAATTAAAACGTTATATATATTTAGATATTTTATAAATTTATATATTTGATATATAATCTTATAAAATAGTAATTTACTTACTCTATAACCAATTTCAAGAACATCAATCGGATCATTGTCTCCTTTACATCCAGTAGCTTCATCCAATACTTCTGGATTTTCCCATGTCTATAATTACGACATAAAAAATATAAAATTTTCATTACCCACTAATTCGTTAGAATTTTAATAAATCAAAAAAAAAAAAAAGAGAAAGAGGAACGGAAGTAAGAAGCTTCTATTAAAATAAAAAAAAATATACGATAAAAGAAATGATTGAAGAGTTATTTGATAATTCTTAGCCTTGAACTGCAATCACTATATGTGTATATAGTATGATAACAACTATTACGTATATAGACGTTGAGATTAAATCGAATACTTCACTTCTTACACAAGTAACATAATAAAGATAGAAGAATAAAATTGTTTAATAGATGTGTATCAAAGTAAATTTCCTATTACATACATTCTTCTATATCGAATTAAAATAATACCTGGGGTATAGCACCATAATTCCAAATATAACCATGATGAGGAAAGCAATTAGCAACGAATCTTAATTTGCCCTTTTTGGTATCTTGTTTGATAGGATTTAAGGGCTCTACGCGATTAATCTCCATCTTTGCATTTGTCCATCTTGGTATTTCGACAACCATATTCAAAATCTTATTTTCTTCATCTGCATAAAGCGGAATGTCATGGAAGGGAGAAATTGGTCCATCTTCATTTTCTGTAATATTAAAATTAATTTTTTTTTCTTTGTTTTTATTTTATATATATATATGTATGTATATTAAATTTATTTAACTATTACTATATATTTAAAAATATAATTATAAGTTACTAAAATAATTTCTAATATATATGCATATACTAACAAGAGAATACAGATAAAAGAAAAAAAAGAAAGGAAACAGTTCTCTAAGAACTCACTTTCACCAAAGCTAAATGTCACTGAATGACATTTAAATCTCAAAAAGTACAACTAAT